TACTCTTCCGCTTTTCCCTAATAACGATAATAGCATGGTCATTTAGCAAAACGATTTACAGAACTGTCAACCAATTCTTAGTTCTTGCAAGAACCCACAACCCTGGTGTTGCCAGCACCATGGTCTAATCTGAGCCTTTGGAGGCAAAAGTGAAATGTTCTCCCATTTCAATGTGTTACCTCCTCCTCCAAGGTCTTGGTAATAAAGTGTGATGTGTGGTTTTGTGGGTCCGTGCCCATGATTGTTCCCCTTCCATGAGTCCCGTGCTTCTGGGCCGTTCTTCTGCTGGCACCCTCATGCTCATCACACTCTCATTGTTCAGTGGCACCTGGCCATGATGGGGAGATGCTGGATGAATCTGGAATCTGGCAACCCTCTGAAGCAATATCCTGAATGGCTGTGCCCTGGTGGGTATGAAAGACCTAGGTTTGGTTCTGAGAACCTGCCAATGTAACAGTATACTTCCGCTGTGTGCCTGACCTGCGCTTTGGGTTTTTGCTCTTTTTAAAGAGGCATCATTTACATTTTTATGTGCCTTGAGATGATTTCCAAGAACGTCCATGAGGCTCCAAGAACATCCATGTTAGGCACGGGAGGTTTGGCGTTTACCTGAAAAATGCTCAATGTATTTTCACTCTCCACATGGTTCAGATTTGCACGTTCCATTGGGGATTCACCCCCAGAGAGCCACAGCAGAATGACATGATAATACAACATGACAGATGTAGTCTTTCCAAGTGCTCATAAGCCCCTCACCTAGTCATTCTACAATGTGGTCAAACCAGGCAACGTCCTGTTTACTGCCCTTTGCTGGACTCCCTAATTCAGTGGATCTCTAACCTCTCCTCGGGGACCCCCTAGCATTTCCATGTATTTCATCTATTCCAGAGCTAGCACACCTGATTCAACTTGTCAACTCATTATCAAGCTCTTGACTAAGTGAGTCAGGTGAGCTAATTCAGGGCTAAAACAAAATTGTGAAATGTCTGGGGGACCCTGAAGAGAGGTTTGAGAACCACTTCCGTAATTCACCTGACTTCCTGTTTCGCTAACACCAGACAGACACAGTGAAAGGCACAGTGATGGGGATGTCTATGGCTGCTCTTTGAAGTGCATTCTTTCTAGTGGAGGTTCCACCTTAAACAGAGTCATCGATCAACCTGACATCTATTTTGGGTGTTCGCGTGACGGCTGACGATGAATCTTCTGGGTAAATAGGGGTAAATGGTGCTGGAGCCCGTCGTGCTCGGTGGAGGGCAGTGGATTCATAGAGGCAGGGGCAATTCCAACCCTGCGGTGAGACTAATCTATGCACATGTGCTGAGGCACTTCAGAAGACCAGATGTTGAGAGGAAACGCATGGAGATACTTCAGCTCCAAAAAGCTCCTGGCGAGTGTGTTATTGCTTACAGACAATGACTGACACACATAGGAGGAAGAGACACACAGACACACACACATGCACACACACATACTCTCACAAATATCTTCGACCTCATGGCAAAGCTATTTCATGGTGGCCTAAGGTGCCATTTGTCAATGCCTTGGTAAAGGCCAATCGATCCCCTCTCGTTTGTGTGTTGTGTTAAGCAGTCCATTCTACACACACTTTTCAGCTTCGAAGAGCCTTAGAGGCTTTACAAACCCTTTATAAATCATTGGACAAGCAACGCTAACAGGCCAAATGTAGTGTTTATTGTTGATTTGTTATTTTTGTGGTCGCATTTGTTCATCATGAATAAAAATGTCTTGGCATGTTGTTGGTTTTGGATCCAGTTCAGAAATCAAGGCATTAACTTGCCATCAGCCAGTACTCTTGTAAACCTCGATAGACACTCCATTATGAACAAATAAACGGACAGCTCTTTTTTTACTAGCTACGATAGATGGTTGTTAGGAGAAGAAAGTGCCGTTGTTTATTTATTCTACTTCCCACATGTCAGATTGGCCAAAACACATTTTCTGCACTGTTTCTTTACCCAAGTCCTTCTTATTGAGACCGAAATGGCTCATTTTGAGTTTTTTTCTCCACATTATTGGCCACAGCTCAGCGTTGCTCTCTCCGGGTTTCGCTGTCCGTTTATAAAGTCATAAAGCTCAGAGCTGTGAGTGCAGCCCTTACTAATCCTCACTCAGCAGCCCCTCGGGTGCGTTTGTTTACAATGCGCATCGAGGCGGGGGAAAAGTCAAAGAAGAAAAAGAGGACAAAAAAAGGCACAACTTCTTGTAAATACTGTAATTGCCCGGCACTACAGTGTATCATCCAAACGGAGTGCTGCGTACACAATGTGCACCAAGTTCCAGTAATGACAGAGGAGTGTTGTGTTTTGCTTGGCAACCAGGGACCTCTCCTCTCTACATTGGGGCCAATTGGTAACAGTTGTGGTGGGTAACTAGCTACACGGGCCCAGGACTCAGAGTGTAGAGTGGAGCGCTCTGCCTGTCATATCCTCAGGAGAAATCACTCGGGTAAGTGCAACGAAATGAGTGCCTGCCAAGTCGGTTTGTGTTTGAAAAACAAGCAGCTCTCTCGCTCTCTCTCTTTCTCTCTGTGCCCAGGCCATCGGATTGGGAAGGCATCCTACAATAACACACACAGTTAATACAGCGTGTCCTGGAGCCAGTGGGGTGTCACTGTTTAGAATGGTGCCCCAAAGCCGCAACAGCAAACCCAGTACAAATGAGTCAGCAAGTTGGGTGTTTGGAGGGATATGAAGGAGGTTGGGGAGGGAGTAAGTCCCCTCTCATTCATCTCGGATTCCAACATGCTCGAATAGCGACATTGCCCTTTATTTTGTGTAGGGCTGATGTTAGTGATCTGAGCCCTGCTGTAATAGCCTACAAGAGACAGGGTCTGCGGTGGGGGCTTGTGCTACTCTCCACAGTGCAGAGAGAGAGAACGCTTGAGAGAGAGAGAGGACATGGAGCCTAGGACTGCTGCTTTGCCTCCTCTACACACTCTGCCGTGACAGCTCCTGCTGGCGGTACTGGATTCCTATTGGCCTGCGGCCCAACACCACATCCTGTGGAGGGTGAGACTAGGAGGAAATCCCTCCCAGGACGCCGCATTGACAGACCCCAGTACCTGAACCAATGCCTCATTCAGTTGCACTTCCTGCCCCTTGACGAACTCCACTCCATTTCGTAACTGGCGCCCACGCCAAGGCCCCAGCTCTGCTCCTTTGCTCCCAAATGGCCTCCTTGCTTCTGTTAGTACCGGACCTTAAGTACTTCTCTGCTTACAGTTGTGTAATAAACTTGGATCTTGGATCTGGATGAGCAAGAACCGGTAATGTTGGACCTTGAGGTCATATCCTCCAATCATCCTATGTTTGTTTGCAGGCGTGAGACATGATTTGAGACGCCAGACAAGGAAATGGAGAATGATGTGAGTCTTCTGCTCTGTGTCTTCTGAGATGAACATCTCATTGTCAGAGCCAGTGACAGGACACGGAAGGAGAACATTGTCCATGACAAACACTATTCCTCAAAGGGATTTCTGCTGCTTTGACCTCCCAAAACAATTGGCCGTCCAATACTGAAACTAAGGCGTTCATCCTAGAATGTATGACACAAAACAAATCACCATTCCCTATGTACAGAGGAGAGGAAGTCTCTCAGTCTCTCCATCCAGATGACGATCCAACAGGGATGGAAATGAACCTGTTAACTATTGTGTCTTGAGACAGGAAGCTGGAAGCTGGCATTGGATCTAATGGCAATCAGAAACATTGTTTAGAGAAGCAGTGTAATTGTCTTGGACAGGAAATGATGGGACTCTGAGATGGCGCAGTCTAGTCGGCCGTGGAGGAGAAAGTAAAGATGTGGGTGACGTCATTGCAGAACAACATCTGTGTCCTATTGGTGTCTTCCAGTTCCAGAGACTTCGGCGGCGTCATGTTTCGTCAGAAGCAACGGCCGTTGTTCTACGGTGCACCAGTGTGGTTGGGGAATTGCCGTGTCAAATGACGTCACTCACATGCCTACACACCTTTCCTCCTCTGCAACCTGTACAAAGGACAGACAGAGAAGACTAGGCAAATAATGCAACCTGAAAGCAAATAAAACTAATGTGAGGGTGCTTTCCTTTCTTTGAATGTAGTTGAGAGAGAAAGAGCGATAGAAAGAGAGGAATGCAAGGTGACGATGGCGTGTACCCTTCTGGAAGAGACAGGATTACGCTGTTTATTTTGGTGTTCGGGAAGGAAAGTCGCTTCTTTTTTCCATTCCAGGGCTGTGAACTTGGCCTGTCAGTCGATGCATCCGTGTAATCTCAACAGCACTGCTGTCTCTGTCTGTTGGCTGAAGAACAACCACCCACCCGGTCTTTCCCCCAAGCGACTGCGCCTGGAGTTTTTAATTGTGTTTCTAGCAAAACAAACGACGTGACAATGGAAACAGTCTGGATCCATTAAGAACTTGCTAATTGCCTCTTGCATTTTATTGGGGAACATTGGAGCAAGGACATAGATATCTTTGCGTAGAGTAATTAAGAAAAGTGTAGTTAGTTACTTAAGTGTATATTATGATGCTGATAGATTCATGTCTCTTTCCTCAGTGAAGGAAGAACACCGAAGTTGTCTTAATTGTTAAGGAAACTATTCTTGTTTTTTCCCCCCAATGTACTCTTCCATCCAACTTGCAATCACTTGTCCCTTCATTTAAAAAAGGTGGAATATCGAGGGCACATTTATCAGCATTTTTTAAAGTCTTTGATTGGAGTTTTTCCGTCTGTTAGATTGCTGTTTTAGATTAATCTGATAGGCTTTAACATTGGTATGTGTCTGTGGGGATGTGTTGGTGGAGAAATCCATTCATTAGACTTGTTGATGTGCTGTGCACTGAATAGTAAACTAGACACAAACAGCAGTGTCAGCCAACTTTTTCCCCATTTAAGTTAAGAAGCTTCAGCGTGAGTATGTGTGACTGTGTGTGTTCTGTCTCATGTATTACTCCTGAATTCTCAAAGTGAGATACTGTCTAACAGACTCTTAGCAATAATGCCTCGCCTTGACCGTGGGCTGTATTCTAAAGAGAGCCTGATCACTGACATCCAGACAAAAGGCTCTGTTCAACCAGCGTGTTTACCATTCTTTGTCCTTGACGACCGGGGGGAGATGGGGTTTAGTAAGGGGGTGGCGGTGATTGCAGACCTCAGCACACGTTCCACTGTTTCTGATGCTAACGTTAGGTGCCTGCTCAGAGTGTAGAAAGATGGCTTCCTCTACTTCCCAATGTGAAGGGGGGTGGGGGTCTCATTGTGCAAGCCGTCACTTACAGTACACCGGAAACTGCAAGCAGGGCAAATGACATCACTATGTGAGTATGAGCCTACGACTCTGTGCTCTCTCCCACACTGTGGGTTTGGAGGTTTATCCAGTGTAATAGCATTTAAAATAAACAACCTTGGTTTGGAACAGGCCCTGTATTGTGGTGTGGCTGATAGGCCCGGTCCGAGCCAGGGGGAGCAGCTGTCATGTATCGGAGCAACGTGCTACATTAGGAAATTGGGAATTATGTCTCTGGAGCGCAGAGGGAAAGCGAGTGGTTTTGTTTTTTGTGTACCTATCCCAAGGGGTAGCTGCTCGCACTTGTAAGACCCTCTCTTGATGTCTTTCTCTCTCTTTCGCTGCTCGTAAATTGTTGCCTCATGCTAGGATGAGGTGGATGTCCCAGGAGATGTTTTACACATGGCCGTCTCACGTCTCTCCGTCGCCCCTTTCCTTTCCCCGCCGCACTTTGCCCCTTTAAAACTGACACTGCCTGACCCGCCTCACCCAAATTATCCCAAACTTAATTATCTGAGTTGGGCCGAAAGCAGGTTCCCTTGTCAAACACTGATGACGCCACTTACCGATACATGTTTTCTTCACTGGCGAAGGGGCATCTCGAACTAGGAAAGACAACTTATCTAGAGATAAGAAAACTCTGATTATGACCTTGCGAACTCACTCGTGGGAATTTCATAATTTAGCCTAGTTGCTGTTACACAGGACGGATGCAAATTATATTGGAGTAATTTTGTAACTTACTAGAAAACCCTCTCTTAGACATGTCTGTCTGTCTCAGACATCAGCCAACAGGTAGTTTCCTCGAAATAAGAAAGCAGCTTGTTTGAGTTGGCAGCCAAAGGAGGCCTGTAGGTGAAAGCATTGCTTTCCTTTCCTGAAAAACCTCCAACTTGCCAAAATGGGTAATATTTGAACAGAGTTTCTGTCAGTTCAGTTGGTATTTTTCTCCTCAGCCTCAGTTTGTTTTTAAAAAAAATCAGTCCACAACACGTCACTGTTCGTGCCCCTAGCATTTTTTATTCTGTCAAAGGTTTGCTGGAGACTGGAGAGGACCTATCATCGAGGCTTGAATTGAACAAACGACGAGCCAGTGCCACACAGCTCGATCTACAGACGTACCCCCAAACGCCAAAGACGAAATGGATAATTTAGATTCTGTTTAGCAATAAATAATTTAATGTAGAACTCGAGCAATGAGCCGTGCTGTTTTGACAGTTTTTCACTCATATTTCTTAATGTTTGTGTTTCATTGTTGAGTAATTGGTTTACTCCGCCTATGAGTTGAATAGCAAGTACAGCAGTGGGAACATTTTCAAAGGCTCTCGCCGCTGAAACACAGTTTACTCAATGTCATACAAAAACAGGCTATTGCCGCGAGTGAAGAGATTTAATATGTAAATACTCACAGCATTCCCCAGGGAGCAAAACTGGTTGAAATGACGTTTTTTTTAAATGACCAGTTTTACATTCATTATGACGTCATCTCAACCAGTTTTGCCTGCTGGGATGTTGCTGAGCTGTAGTGTTGGATGGCAGTGACCTATGTCGTGGTCTCGGGTGGTCTCCAGCAGTTGTGGGCTACCGTGGCTGTCGTGTCACCATGGCAACTCGTCGTTATGAATCACAGGCCTCGAGCTGGACGACTTCAAGACAGGAAGTCCTACTGTACTGCAGCAGCGCCCGGCCGGCGTCTGTTCCACGAGCGGCCATTAAATCACACTAGAGTCACTGATTAAAGCCAGCGTCGATTCAGGAAGTAACTGAACGATTTTGAAAGGGAGAAGAGTGCTTTCACACATCCCCCCCCCCCCCCCTCTTGTCTTTTGTCTCGAGGGCTCTTTGAGGCTGCCAACAGCCCCTATATAGGCTCTGTTTCCTTCCAAGTCTGTAGCGTTTCTATTAAGGGTGATTTTATTAGCGAGTGCCGAGAGCACAGGACTGTTGGAGGTCTCTTAAATCTAAAAAAAATAATACTTTTTTGAATTCTTGTGGTCTTTGAGATATACTGTAACTGATATCGAACTGAAGCATTGTTCCAACTAACTTTGTCACTTCTCCCTGTCCCTCTTAGAAATCATTGATGACCTCACACACCTGGTGGACAAGACGGATGACCGGATCCGCAACGAGACACGAAGGGTTAAGCTGGTGGAGACTAAGTCGGCTTCCTGCGGTGAGCCCGCCTTCCATCTCCGGGGTCGCTGCGGTCTGCAAGGCCATTTGATCTGCTCTGTGTTCGTAACCCAACTGTAATACGTCTGTCTCTCTTCCAGATTTACGAGCATCGGTCCCTCTCCCTTTTCTCTTTCTGCAGCTCTCAGTACAGTTCAGTGTGCTGTGAATGGCCTAGTAAAGGGAGTATAGACCTTCAGGCCTTCAGTAATGGGAAAGCCAGACCCAAACTCTAAATGCACTCAGTTATGTGTTATATTGAGTCTCGGTCCTATAATCTTTTACTCTCCAGGTAAGTCATTCATGATGGTTAAAGATCGTGAAAAACCCTCTAAAGCTGGGTTCTCCCAGAGTAATATGAGCTCCAAAACACACCTATACAGTATGTGGAGTATAAGAGGGTGTGTCCTTCATGGATGTGGTATCTCAATCTATGCCAAACAATTGTATCTCATGAGGGAGCTAGTTGAAGGCCCTCAGTTGGATTTGTGGACTAGTGGTACCCTTTCAAGCACCATCCATCGTATTCCATTCAGCGATATCATTGCTGTGCTCACCAGAAGCAGACTCGATGCTGCTTAATTGACCAGAAGCAACGACATTGATGGCGACAAGCACATTTGGCACCGAAACACCACACAGTTAATGGTTGGGGGGATTGGCTCTATCACATCTACTACTTTATGTTATAGAAAACAGTCCCACATAGGTCCCCCGATCCTATCCCCAATCCCTTACACTCTGAAAGGTGCTTCCAAGAGCCAGGCTGTAGTACAGACTCTGTAGTAAGTCAAAAGCCTTTCTTGGTACCATTTTCAAAGGACTCCCAGTAACCAGTCTGTTGTGTAGTAAGTCAGCACCACCCTCTCTTGGTACCAGTCTTTGATGGAGTTCAGTGGTTTACAGAGCTAAAGAGGAGCTGTGAAGCTGTGTCAATGGGGCCCCCTCACCATTACCCCCCAATCCCCTTTAATTTGTTTAACTCGGCTGTTTGGACTTTAGCCTTTACAAAGCCCAGCTTTCCTCTCTCAATGGCCACCCTGCTTCTTTCTCTCTGCTGGGAAAAAGAGATGCCAGAGCGGGGAGGTAGCTAGGCTAACTACCGTACAGCGAGACCGGGAATGTGCGACAAAGCTTGTTGGCGTAGTCAAGCTATGTTTGCCTTGTAAACGCCAGTCCGCGTCACCTAGGCGATGGCCGCATTGTTGCGCTAGGAGCCCCCACTAACAGGCGAACAGTGGCGCGGTCATACAACAGTAAGATCTGAGGATGCGATGAAGGCTCAGCTAATATAACAGTTGATGCCATTTCTGCCCAGTCGCCATGACACCCAGAGAAGGTTTGTTTGAAGATCCCAGAACTAGAGTCACTGGGCACATTGTGCTAACCAAGGAGTATCTTTCTCTCTCTCTCTCTCTCTCTCTCTTCTCTCTCTCTCTCTTTCTCTCTGTCTTTTCTATCTGTCTGCTTTCTCTCGTTCTTTTCTCCCTCTCTCTTCCTATCCCTTCTGTCCTCTACTGTGCCAATGCTTAACAATATTAATGTATTCTGTGTAGTGTGAGAGGTGGAGTGGGGGGGTTGTTTGGGTGTCGTGAATGGAAAAATCGTCCACCACCCCAACACTGACCATCCCCCCCACCCGCTCCATTCCTCCTTTTTCCATCCTCTCTTCTCCTGGTTTGTTTGACACTTGTCTTTGTCTCGTGCAAAGAAAGAATTGAAAATAGAACATGCCACAAGTCTTTTGGAGGGTTTCTCCTCTTGTTCTTGGGTGCGTGTTGATGATTCCTGAGCTTGGGCTTGATTTGTTTTTGGAACCCAGCTCATCCAATGCCCAGGCTTGGGTGTTATGTCTTCCTTGAGTTCTCCAATAGGTGGGAAAGACTGGCTTTGACAAGGAGACGGGCATATTTCACATACTTTCTCTCGTAAGAGAAGAAACATCCCAGATTATACACACTGGGGGCGGAATCCTTACTTAAGATGTGTGTTTAACTTGAGGATTTAACATAAAGATGTTACTCTTGTTAGGATTTGGGCTGTTAGGAATTGCAGCATTTAGATGAATTACCACTTCTAATAAGTGTACTGATGAAAGCTGAGGCTTTTGTTTGCAGGTGTGTCAATCTTTAATCAACCTCTTAGACCTTCTGCCAGAGACAAGACAAGGAGAGAGAGATGAGTGACTGAGGACACTGTGGAAAATCCATCCTACCTTTGTGTTTAGTTGGCAAGCTGAAAGCTGGATGAGCACGGGCTGAACATGGTTAGGGGTCATCTCTCCTCTGAAGGGAGGAAGGTCCCACATAGCATAACATACTGCCATGGATCCATCCTGCAGCAACGGGTGCATGACTGCATCTCATGGCAGGCTTGTGAAACATCCTGGATCTTGTTGAAGCATATAGAGAGTTGAGATACAGGTACATTACAAGTCCTTCAGTCATCAGTCTCATGGTGCATTGAGGAAGAGCCACAATCAGACCACAACACAGTTGTGGACTTCACCAGGATATATGGGTGACAAGAACAATGTTAAAGCTTTAAAGCTAACTTGGGGTTAGCCTTTTTAAACAGTGTTTAAGCTTTGAGCAAAATGAGAAAGTTAACGCTGCCCCCCAAAAAATATCCAATAAAGTAAAGCCTCCTTTTCACAGTCACTTCCTTTTACTGGGAAAGGGATAGTGAACAGGTTTTGAGGGGGGTAGGTGGCATTAGAAAGGCAGATTACCCCTTAGCACCAAAGGGCCCTAGGAGGGTGGTGTGAGTTTCCCAGGGCTTAAGCATCTCATCAGGCAACGTGGGGGCAGACCTCTCGCCCTCTCTCCAATGGACTAATCCCATGGGCCTGGGGAGGCTGCAGGGAAACCCCACACACATACTCACACTCACACACACTCGAATCCCGCAGGTGGCTTGCATCTCAAGTAGGGCTGAATTGTTAGGGCTTTCGAGGGGTTGTCATTGAAGGTAGGTAAAGGGTGCATTTAACTTCATTTCAATGAGTCCCTTCAAGCCTGTTAAGTAAACCTTAAATACTTTTGAGGGCTCATTTTGATTACTTTTATGTAATTTTACCAATGCCGAAATTATAATTTTGACTAGTCTCCCATGCCCTATCATTCATTTCAGTGTTGGACCAAAAAATACTGAAACAAACCATTCAAATCTAAGGTTGTACTAAAACAAAAACTCCAAGGTCGTTGTGAGGCACGTATGATGGTGTTGAAACCATGACCTAGAGGAGTAACAGATCCTGGAGCTCATGGTTTGTCACATTTACAAATGCTTACACAACCTTTATGACTTGGTTTTGGCTGGTGAGAGTGGAAGATTGGAGGGTTATAAAACAATAGATCTGAAACAGCAGTCACTTTACTGCTGATTTTTCAAACTCCATAAACAACTAACAGATTTGATCAGCCCCTATGAAATCTGTTATTCCTTTGCGAAGGTTTTTCATTTGAGGGTATATTACTTCAATATTATGTTTATCAATGTGTACTATTTCATATTACAATAGAATTGCTGGAAGATAACTATCTATCATGGTGTGCGAACCCTACAGGATTACAATTAGAAAAGTGATGACCTCGCAAACCATGTTAACATAAAACTTGACCCTTCATCAAAGGTCAGCCGAGTCTTTTGCAGCCAAAAAGAGCTATGAACCAGAGGCAAAGGGCAAGAACGGGAGAGGTGTTTGTGGGTGTGTGTGTGTGTTGCGGAGGGCAGAGACAGAAATACAACCTCCACCCGCCTCCCACCCTTTTCTCCACCAATTAGGATTTGTCTTACTGATATGTCAGAAAAGCTCAAAAGGGTGTATCCAAAGCCTTACTTTGCCCATCTCTAAAGCTCTTGGGTGGTCACTTTGACTGACTGACTGCACTGCATACCCCTTGGCTTCAATGGCGAAGCGTAGTCTAATCTATTTGGCCTGCAAATGTGATTGTTGTCATTGCTTCGTCGAGACTGGGTCAGGAGTAAGTAACTTATTTAGTTACTTAGAGGGACGGGGACAGTCCCAAAGAGAAGGGGAGGGAGGGTTAGTAGGGTGACTGGGTGGTAGGCGACATATCGAAGAAGAAGATTACATTATTATCCAACGATGTACATGAATGTCTAACATAATTTGACTTTAGAATGTTTATCAAGCTGAATCTAAAGATGACAGTCAACTATCCTGTTTTTATAGCCTTCACACTGAAGGGTAGTTAATTGCCTGGAGTTTGTGTGTGTATATTTCTCTAAGTGTGAGGTGTTTAAAGAGCCATCATGAGGGCTGTTGGGAGGAATGTTCCCACTTGACGTTTATATTGTTGGTGCCCTGCGCACATGTGTAAGTTATCAAGTGGGGAGGTCCTGTCTCGACCAATGATCATTCTGAGAGGTGGAAGACTAACATGCTAGGCTTCAGACAGTGCTGTTTTATTGAAAGTTTGACTTAAAATGTGCATAGGAGAAGAAGTGAAAATAGGAGTAGGACGAATTGGTTAGATGTAGAGTATGGTGAATGTGCATGGCCACAAAGTTGCGCCTGCATCTCCCTCACTCAACTCGGAGACAGAGATCTTTCCCTCAGAGGGATCTTTCCCTCAGTTTTGAACGTTTTAGTAGTGTATCCTTGCAGTAGCCAGACCACTGTATTCAATGAAGAAATCCTAGAAGTAGGAGAAAGTGTTGCAACCAACCAAACTAATGAGGCACTCAGACCTTTGGACTTTGCCACATCCAAGCTTCCTAGCCAAGTTCTATGTCTCATAAGAACACCTGATCTAGGATCAGGTTTGCCTTTTAGATCAAAATGAACAAGATTCCATGGACGGGGGGGACCTGATCCTAGATTAGGAGTTCTACTCTGACTACGACCCAGGCAATTAGTTCAGCATGGTTCATCATCCCCCTATCTCTCCCTGTGGACCAGACTGCAATTACTCTGCTGAGTAGAATGCACGACGAGAAAGCCAAAGTATGAAAGAAATGTAAACCAAAAGTGAAAAGGCAGGGAGGGAAAATTACCGGCCCCCATGCAAAAAACCATGGACAACTTGAGTCAGCGAGAGACTGTCGACAGCCATCAAGCCATCAGATTCTCCGGGATGCAGTTGTTTGAAATCTTCACCCGATGGTGATGCCATTCAAGGAGAAATACGAGAGGGAGAGCGAGAGGAAAGTGTAGCTAAATGTGCCCTTGGAGATCGTTTTCCATATCTACTGTAATGTGTGGCATGAGGTTGGGAGAGAAATCCCCCTAGCTGCCATGAAAGCTCACCACGGTGGAGAGGCATGACACGTGACACCAGCCATCCACCAGTTCCTTTCATTCTTACCAACACCTTAGAATGGTTTCAGAATTTGAAACAGCTGTAGGTTTGATGACAATGGACTAGCCAAGACAACTGGAAAAGCCATTGAACGGTGGTTGTAGGCTAGCCATCTAATATTCAAACCAAAATGCAAGCACAGAATAACTATCCATTCTTGATAATAAATGTTGGTCTTGAACTTTTGAATAGTTTTTCTATATTGTCTTGGCCTTGATTAAAACTTGAATTTGATCTGTGGCTAGCCTAATGTCTGGATCATTTTCAGGTCCTGTGGGGTAAAAAGCTTTTGATTAAGTGTGAGGTAGCTACAGTATAATCTTTCAGGTCTCCTCTGTCTCCACAGCATTGGTGGAAAAACATTGATTACCCTCCAGTGAAGTCAGATCCGAAACACATGCCCACCGCAGTGTGATCTGTGCCAATAAACCTGTCACAATTCTAGATTGCACATGAACTTGTATTAAGTCATCTTGGTGGAAATGTGCAGGTAATACGAGGGCAGTAGCCTAAGCACTGGGGCTCAACAAGGATTTAGAAAAGTGGGTAGTGCCAAGGGTCTGCGCTAACTAGAAGAAGGCCTAGGCATACCTTTTTCAAGTCTACTGATTGTTTCCACCACCTATTCCTTTGGTCTCTGGCTTTCCAGCTTAGCCTGACCAGAATAATTTAGGCAATGTGTGGAATTCCCTGTCTATGTAACTATTATGTACTGTACCTGTCTATGTAACTATTATGTACTGTACCTGTCTATGTAACTATTATGTACTGTACCTGTCTATGTAACTATTATGTACTGTACTTGTCTGTGCTGTAACTACTATGTATTAGGTACACTTAGTAAAGCAACATTTTTTTGTGTTAAAATTTTTTAAATTTCTGTCGAGTCGCCCTCCTACTTATCCTTCTGTGTGTGTTTCTATTCTTGTTGCAGGGATGCTGGTGGTGATCGTGCTCCTACTCATTGCTATAGTGGTGGTTGCTGTGTGGCCCACCTAACGAAGAGGCTGAGGGGAGCGTTTTGGACATCGCACCGTCTGTCGGATTACCACTGAGACTGCATAGAGAGCCTACAGGGGAGACGAGGTGCAGAGGCACTTATGTAGGTATGTATCAAGCGTGCTGATTTAGGACCAGGTTTTGCCTTTTAGATCCCATGGAATAAAATTACATAGACAAGGCAGACCTGATTCTAGATCAGCTCTAATACACTGAGACGCTTGATACATCTCTCCCCAGAGCTACCAAGCCCTCTTCTCCCTCCCTCTGTATTTCCTCTCCTCGTGCCCCGTGTATGAAAACTGAGTGTACTGTACTCTACTGTACCTCAACCAGCAACAATGTTTTATTTTCTTACATGGGTGTTGGTTGGGTAAAGGGTAGCACTGACCCTACAGTAGGACCTCCCATGGGGGGACTTTTTCTTTCATAATTCTGTCTGTGGGCTGAGAGGTCCGGGGTTCCGGGTCGCTAATTCCGCTAGCTTAGCAATTCACTCACACATATCTATGATTATTATGATTATATTTACCCGCTAGCTGTTCTAATGGTATCATTTGTCTTGGGATTTTATCATGTTTATAGGATAATGCCAGCCAGAACATATAACACATATGACTGTGTCACTTTTTAACAGTACTGTTTTATTTTCTTGATGTGAATCAGTTCAGCTTAATGCAACCTTGTAATTTCTAATAAACAACATTTACAGTTAACAGCACAGTCCATGGACTCCTTGGTGTAAAGAATGTAGCTATTAGTTCTCTGGATTTACAGGTAGATTGCAATCATGTTATATAATATTGGTAATCTACTAAGGATAATGTACTGTATGTATACCATACTCTGCATTCTTCCACTATGTCAATTTAAAAGCCTTGCAAATGCTGCAAAAGGTTGAGAGATGCGTGCTTGCGTCGGTGTGAACAGTATAGCTATCCCACTACTGGTCCGAGCTTGGTCGTCTAAAGCTATTCGATCTACACCCAGCATGCTTAGCCCTCTACTGTACTGCCCTAAGTCACACATGGAGCTGTTGATAGAAGTGTGTTACGCCCAACACTCTGGCTTCAGAGATCCAAAGCAGACATTAAGCACTTCATCAGCCAATTATTGAAGTTGACAGAGAAGAAAGGCATCAAAGAAAAAGAAAGAGTCACACTAGTGGCGACTTAACAGGAGTTTATTTCAACTGAATTCTGGATTTAGTTCTACCAGCTTAGTGTTCAGTAGTTAATGTTTCCTTCTTAAAATCACAACCATCTAAACAACCACAAACAAGTAAAAAAAGGCAAAAAAAACGGAATAAAATCCACGTCTCGTGTCATTAAATATATCCATATATAGTAACCATAATATATTAGTACGCATCGTAAAACAACATCGCAAAAAAGGTTTCGCAATGGCCAACACAGCTAAACAACATTTACAATTAAAAAGTATTAACAAAAGCAACGTTTTGACAGGTCTGCGGGTAGTCATATTTGATCAAAGAGGAGGTCATTGTCAATCCATTGCTTGGAAAACTGATCAAAAATGTACATCATGGGGATACAGAGACAGAATGGAACAAACGATCGAGGTTTGATTATATATTTTGTGCCAAACAGAAATACATTTACATGTAATGTCGCGAGTATGAATATAACGATGAAAGAAAATAACCTGTAAATATATGTATAAATACGTGTAATATGTCATCTGTATATTTGATCTTTGTAAGGAAGACACCAGCACAAAGCATATGTATTTATATGACTGATCTGTACACAGAGAGAAACGGTATGGAACACAGATGCTGACAATCAGACCCTCAATGTACATCTGATTTGGTTTAAAATAAAATAAAGATGTGGTTTGAATTCATTTGTGGATAATCAGGTGATTGAATTACATGATTTTTCCTCCTAGTCCTCATTTCGTCCCTCAGCGAATCGTTCTGAACTTAATTAATTTGACAGCCTTGTAAGAGACATTGAAGAATGTCTGCAGCTGTTGAATTGCTGCCGCTACGGCATCCATATTAGGAATTCCATATTAGGAAGACCACTGACAGTTTTAGCCTGAAATCTGACGACTTGCTTAATATGGATGCCGTACACCATTCAAGACAGAATTTTCAAGAACTCAAGAGTGACAGGCAGTCCAGCATGTAACATGTATATCTTATGCACAAGGGTGAGGTCTATGGACGGTTAAGTGGGGGGAGAAGGGGTATGAAGCAAGAATTTAGAGAGATGACTTCTAACAATGTTTGTCAAAGAGGTAAACTGCACTCTTACATTTCTGTTGCCTCAATACAACAAGAAAAGAAATACTGTTCTTAGGTGTGCACTGTCCATTCTCTTTGCTTTCTAAAATCTACAATCAATAAATTGAAGTTAATAATAGGTTTATTATCTAGATAATTTTCACATAAAAATACTACTTATACAGATTTATTATTGTTGACTGCCAACCCCTTTTTTAGTACCTTGGGGAAGTGACTTGTTTCAATTCCAAATGCTTTACATATTGTGATTTTTTTTTTGTACTTACATTTTACATACAAAATGAGGTAATAATTATTGTTGGGCATGTAGACTTCTTGGCATCCAAAATATGGTGAATTTTAATACAACACAGAAACAATTCTGTGCAGATTGGTGAATAGCCTACAGTATTAGGAAATATTGTTCCTAGGGAGAGGTCATATAAATATGTACATTGTAACGCTTTCAATTCAATATGTACCAATATCTCACTGCTTGGTTAACGTTCTCTGAAAACAATCAGATTTGTGTTGTCAACACACAGGGCCTAGTGTTGTAGCTAATCTATTTGAAACCTTAGGTATGATAAGGTATCAATTACAACATTGCAAATGTTTCCTTTTGGTTTTGTGTAAAGCATGTGTACTGTATAATAATAGTAATGTGAATTCATATTTCATAAATGTACACCTTCAATAAAAAAATATATTTAAAACATCTGTATACTAAATCTGGGCATTATGGGGAAGAACCACACTGCTTTATGTCTCTTAGAAGGAAGGACTGGCTCCTAAATGACTCGATCATTAAATATATACTGAACAAAAATATAAACGCAACATGTAAAGCGTTTTATGAGCTGAAATAAAAGATCCCAGAAATGTTCCATATGCACAAAAAGCTTATTTCTCACAAATTGTGTGCACAAATTTGTTTACATCCCTGTCAGGGAGCATTTCTCCTTTGCCAATATAATCCATCCACCTGTCAGGTGTGGCATATCAAGAAGCCAATTAAAAAGCATGATCATGACACAGGTGCACCTTGTGCTGGGGACAATAAAAGGCCACTCTAAAATGTGCAGTTTTGTCACACAACACAATGCCACAAATGTCTCAACTTTTGAGGGAGCGTGCAATTGCCATGCTGACTGCAGGAATGTCCACCAGAGCTGTTGCCAGAGAATTGAATGTTCATTTCTCTACCATAAGCTGCCTCCAACGTTGTTTTAGAGAATTTGGCAGTACGTACAACCGGCCTCATAACCGTAGCCCAGGACCTCCACATCTGTCTTTTTCACCTGTGGGAACGTCTGAGACCAGCCACCCGGACAGCTGATGAAACTGAGGAGTATTTCTGTCTGTAATAAAGCACTTTTGTGGGGAAAAACTCATTCTGATTGGCTGGGCCTGGCTCCGCAGTGGGTGGGCCTGGCTCCCAAGTGGATGGGCCTATGCCCTCCCAGGCCCACCCATGGCTGCGCCCCTTCCCAGTCATGTGAAATCCATAGATTAGGGCCTAATTAATTTATTTCAATTGACTGATTTCCTTATATGAACTGTAACTCAGTAAAATCATTCAAATTGTTGCATGTTGCGCTTATATTTTTGTTCAGTATAATTTAACCAAACGTTAATAAAATGTTAAAGCAAGTATGGTGATCCTAAATAGAGACTGAAGATCCTAAATTGAAATCTGATTGTTATTGGTCTAATAGCGTGAGTCTTTGTGAAATCCCAGACATTTTGAATGCAGTCCGTCTTCTTGGGAATACAGCAAAATGATTATTAAAAACACTAATCATGAAATTAGACAGCAGCACCAGTCAAAAAGAGAGTAAGGATACCGTGTCCATATTAGGATATCAACTCATCTGACACTGTCCTAATATGGACACCATATATGTGACATAATAACCAGCCTTTTTGGAGAAAGGTTGACATGCAGTTTGAAACTGTACAAGAGTGTGTTAACCACGACAATTCACAATGAACATTCATTCATTTCAGATCATTCTGAATACTGAAACTTAAGTCAACCGGACAAACAAAAAATGTGTATATTAAAATAATATCCTTGATTAAGCTTAGTTAACAATGCTGGAGTCAAATATTTTGTAGACCTTTAGGAATGGACATTCATTTTCTTTCTTGCCATTTCACTGTCTGAATCTAGGGGCCAACTTTCAATCCAACATTCAATCAAACGTACAATATGTCACACCCGTGAAATAGAAAAAGAACATAGCTAGTTACTGTGCTATGAAAATGTGTGTTTTAGGTTACATACACATACGACCAGGTGAAACGAAAGGCAACTTATTTGATAATACATGAAACGTGCATTTCCAAGGCGCAGAACCAATGTTATTTTATGGCACTTTTTCTGAATAGAGTAAACCTAAGCATTTGCTGCACTGCCAGTGATATTATTAGCTAACCCTAAAAACTACAGAAAACAGCTTGTGATAATGCAGTAGCTTGATTTGTGGTGTCTTCACACCAGCACAAAATGCTCATAAAATCGGGCTATGAAATATCAATATGAATTTTTTTTTAAACTGAACACAAATAACTTTATATAAACTGGTAATAGGTGCAAACTTGGCAAATCCACAGAGACAAATCTCAAATGCAAAAACAACGAAGCAATAACACCTGCAGCGTGACCTCCTTCACAAAAGTCCACTAGAAAAAATATTCTTAATAATATTCTCTTCATGCTTCTACTCGAAAAAGTAGCGACAACGCACAGTCCCTTTCTGTCCTTCCTCAGTCTCCCTCTCTCTCCTCTCGTCCTTTTCCAACACCCACTCATGCTTTCTCCTGTCCCGTGTTCCATTCCCTCGCTCCAGGCGTCGTCCGTCCTTTCCGCCTATGCCTTCTTGCACTTGCCTTTCTTCTCACGTTGCTGGAACTTCCTCAGCCGACGGGCCCATGTGTCTCTCCACTGGATGACCAGGGAGCCCTTATCGGCTACCACTCCAGACTGCCCTGGAGAATCCTCGTCGTTACCCAGGAGCAGGTACTTCTTCCCGGTCTTGATCTTTGGACACTTGCACGCCACATCCTTGGCCCTGACCCACAGGAACTGGTCACCGCGGCGGATGCGGCTCTCGCCCTGCTTGTAGACAGAGATGATGTTGACGGTGAACTTCCACCACTCGCCCGCCTTGTCCGCCTTCAGAATGTGCACCTGGACAGCTGGGGTGGGGGGAGAGAGAGAGACTTTAAGTGACGAGTCATTTACAATGTATTTTTATTGTTATGTCTTTCCATTGTGTCTGACTCAATTCTAGCATTAAAATGTCCTGCTCAAAGGGATACACAGTACAGTGCTGTTATTCCTATCTCTATCACTGTGGTCCGTGTCTGTATCACAGACTTAAATTAGAACCCCATCCTTGTCCTCTTGGCACAGGAGAGCAACTCGGTCCTTATCGTCTGCTCCATTCCTTCCTGCTATCCTGACCTGTGACCCTACTCTTCTTCTCTAGACCGACAAGCCAAGATCCCAGCAACAGTTACTATGGCACCCTGGGACAAAATAATTCAGTTTGACCGAGTCCAACATTTCCCATGGAATCCCTTTTCCTTCTTTCAAAAACCTTGCCTAGACATCTCTCTCATCTCTCTCTCTCTGGCCACTCAGTATGACAGGAGGAAGGGAGGGAGGGAAAAGTGCTAGTGTGAGTATATCTCCCACTACAGATGTAGGATCTTAATTGAATCACCCTGTTGTAGGAGAAGTTTCCTGCAACGCAGGACATTTAAAACTTGTAGCGTCTTTGAGGTTTAAAAAGGCTTCTAAAGTTTATAATTTCCACTTTGTAATTTCAGACTTGATTTTCTCTTACGATACAAAAATGTCCATTCATTATAATCCACATAATAATTTACATTTCCTGTTGCTGCAGGATTATTTTCCTGCTGTAGAAGACTGGCTCAAATTAAGATCCTACATCTGTAAGTCTAGTATGCTACACTGAGTCTAGTACCATCCACCAGCCAAGAAGGGTATCAGACAGACAGTGAAGCAGGCAGTACTGACGCCGGGTAGCCTGCTGTCTGTAGCTGAAACCTCTAGCTCTTAGTCCTCTGTGTCCACTGGTCCATGTGTGTCTCCAGTCCGTGTGCTACTGGCTCCACAGACCATCGCCATGAGACGCTGTGATCTCCACTGTCCATGCAGCATTACGGGACACTAAAAACACCATAATTGACAAAGCCTCAAGGGCAGGGTTCTGTTCTATTCTCTTTAAAAAAGTGAGGTTGGCTTCCCCATTTGGCGCTGATTCTAGTGGAGTCATCAGCAACCACCCGGCCCCAGTGGATAGGAGACTGAGCCTGTAACCTAACCAGATGCCCATCAGAGGCTTGTATCCTCCAAGGGAAATGCTGTCAAGGCAAAGATGTCCGGTAGCAGATCCAGCTCCACGTCCAGGGGATTTGATTTGTAATGTGATTAAGAGGCAGGGATGGGCTGTGAGGAGATGGGTTTTGGGGAGCGGCTCTGTGATAGTATAATATATCACTGAGAGGATCAGGGGGAGAGAGAGGAGAAAGAGCACTACATTGACAATATGCTCTATTGCTCACCAACAGCTCTCAAAAGCAGCATACATAACCTTAAAATGTAACAGCAGTCGTTAAACCATGGGTCATTAGCTTACCTCCAATACACACAAACTGACTCACTGAGCGTGAATGTCATGGCTCTCTAAATGGGTTCTCAATGAGACGTATCCTGCACTGCACTGCAGATTTTACGCCATGCATGGTAGATCACAGCGTTATCAAATAGGGCCCTGGTGTCCTTTTCTGCTAGCATTAGCATTCCTGATGTCTTTTACTGTTACTATTAGCATGGGCATTGGTTGAACTGGCTGGTGACCTGGTGGTGAACCCTATTGGTGCCCTCTGTCACCCTGTCCTTCCCAGGTGTCACCACTGGAAGGCGCTCTCTGTTTGTGTTTGCACAACAACACAGGGTGAAACCCTGAGAGACCAACTGTAAATAACTCAGCCTATTGTTAAGCCCTGTTCCACTGTCATTTCAGCCCTTTTGTATAGAAACATGGCTGTATCCAAGCACCCTGTGGTTCTCTATGGGGGTTGGAGTGTGTCTGCATATTATCCAGCATAGGCCCAAGGCACAGCGAGACACTGCACTCCTACTGCTCTTCGCTCACAATCCGCCACACTGGGACCCTCCAGTACAACTTACTGAAGTGTAAAGCGCGAGGCGAGTCTTATCCTGTACAGGACCAGTACAAAGCCCCCCTGAGGTATGGCGAGGCAGGGAGAAAGTGGATTAGACCCAGGCCTTGGCAGGGAGGCTGGACCCAGGGCCCAGGGAGGGTTAGGGAGGGCTGGGGAGGGCTTGGGTAATGTTGAAGAGGGCCAGAGGGGGAAGCAGAGGAAATTGCCTGTAATTGGTAATTGAGGAGAACAGTAAGAGTAAAACAGTGGGGGTTCCTTTACTGTAGCCTGCTCTGAAGTCCAGGAGCGTGTACCCTAACCCCACTGTGGACCCTTACACACACACACACACACACACACACACACACACACACACACACACACACACACACACACACACACACACACACACACACACACACACACACACACACAACATATTGTCACAGCCTTCCCTGAGGCATGCTGGGGTGGTGCTGGGATCACTCATCAATACCAGCAGGTCCCCTCTACACACTCCCACTCCGGTGCATGCCAGACCTGCCCACCTGTGAGAGACTAGGATGGGGGTAGAGGACACTCCCTGTGTTGTTGAGCAGCTCTCTCAACACTGCTGAGTCTGAGCTACAGTAAGATACACAGTCATGTCTTGATGACATGCACCTGGGTAAGGTCCCACCTCACTCCCCATCTTCTCTCCCCTATGGGTCTTCAGTGGGCACTGACACTGACAAGCTCTGACTTATAGACAGACTTCTGTCCAGTATATAAGGGTAAGAGTTTGTACAGCTGAAGACCACAACACATCACTGGGCTTCCCCAGGACAGTGTGTCTCCCTACGGGGGTCTATTGACACTAGCCTAATGCCTGACTTTAACTGGAGACATTAACTGCTTCACCTCTTTCACACAGATGGAGTTACGCTGCTGGGGATCAATGATCCACAGAGCTTTAGTTTTTTACCACTCATTAAACCTGTTCGCCTATAAATGGCCACAAGCTAGTTACTGTGGTGTAGAACCTTTCTTTTTTTGCATATGCATACACATGGCAAACATTTACCAAACACCACAATTACGGTAGAGTATTTTCACATCTAAAAAAATCGTCCATCTTTTTTTATCAATTGCCTCTTAAAGAGCTGCAATGAGAAATAATTTAAGCCACTTTTCATTTGTGGCACAGGGGATTCCTCCTGACACCATTCCTGGATCCAACCCCCAAAAACTCAGGAACAATGCCTGGGCTGTCATTCATTCAATCTGCCAAGGTATTTTCAGGCAGGATGCCCCTTCTTGGTTGACTGATTTAACAGACTGGCTTCAATCAGGTCGGGGTCAAACCTCCACAACCTTCACCAGGGTCTTAACCACCTAAAGCACCTTTTCAACCTTTCAACCTTTTCAATGGCCAGGGCAGCCGGATGGGATGGCCACAGGAATGCCTGTCTGAAAAGGCCCATACCTTAAGTTCCCCTTAATGAGGACCTTTAGGCGCGCACCCCAACTGTCCGTCACACCGACTTTGCTTTATCCATTATCCGCTTTACCCTTAAATACCTGATGGGCTGTCCATCATCCTAGAACCCCCCTCCCCTTCGCACCCTCTCTATCCTCACACCCTAAGCTCTTCTCTCTGATGGCTTGTCCCCCTCCTTTGTTTGATCCTTTGACTTTCTTTCTTGAAAAGCCGGAGTAAGCCATCACTAGAATGCCCAGGAGCTGTAGGGTTGTCCTGGGGTGAGGCCTGGACTTGGTCCTGGGTGTTGTAAATAAAGATGTAGCTAGATACTTGAGCTAGCTGAGCTCCCTAGTCCACCAGGGCTCAGGAGGCTGTGTGAGCTTCTACTGTAGGACTGTACTGTACAGAGGATTGAACTCAACTCACCGTAATCTTTCTTGCAGTATTTCTTCATGTTGATCTTCAGTTTGCCTTTCGACGCCTTGCAATAGGAGTCACAGTCTGCATGTAGGAGAGAGAGCGAATAAGATACACACTAGATTAAAACAACTGAAGAGAGAGCAAAACGAACTGTGAAAAAAGACAAAAGTGACGCCACATCACATCTCCTTCAGAATTCCTTGAGCTTACTTGCGATACGCATCTGCCAGGTTCAATTGTGTCTTCCTCTAATAGGGCTTATGGGTGCATTGAGAGGAGTGGTGGCCCATAGAAATGAGACCAGACAAAAGGGGTCCCGTGGCTGCAGGCGACCGCCCCGGCCCTGTCTGTCTGTGGCCTGCCCCCTGCCCCTATAGCTCTGATGGGAGTACCTCTGGACTGCTGCGTATTGTGCCACCAACCAGGCCATCGCTTCAGAAAACCACTCAAATTAACCCCCCCAATCCCCACGCCGACCGCCACCCAACACCCCCCCTGTCAAAGTGCCAGTTTGGGACTGATTAAGGCCTGTAGATGCACCCCCCCAGCCCCCCAACACCCATAGCTGCGGGAAGTAGGGGTGCTGGAGATGCTGCATCGCCTCCTGATAAATTGGAATAATTTGTTCTAAAATTATATTACTCCAGGCTGAACAGACATAAATGAATTAATCCCAAAATACCACACCAGAGAGCATAATTTAGCCGCAGAGGATCAATAGCTTCTAAAAAAAATAGCTGTGGATTAAGTTTTATCACTTAACAGTCGGAAAAGCACTCACGCCAAATATACAGTACCAGTCAAAATGTGGCTACACCTACTCATTCAAGGGTTTTTCTTTATTTTTACTATTTTCTACGTTGTAGAATAATAGTGAAGACATCAAAACTATGAAATAACACATGGAATCATGTAGTAACCAAAGAAGTGTTAAACAAATGAAAATATATTTGAGATTCTTCAAAGTAGCCACCCTTTGCCTTAATGACAGCTTTGCACACTCTTGGCATTCTCTCAACCAGCTTCATGAGGTAGTCACCTGGAATGCATTTCAATTAACAGGTGTGCCTTGTTAAAAGTTAATTTGTGGAATTTCTTTCCTTCTTAATGTGTTTGAGCCAATCAGTTGTGTTGTGACAAGGTAGGGGTGGTATACAAAAGATAGCACTATTTGGTAAAAGACCAAGTCCATATTATGGCAAGAACAGCTCAAATAAGCAAAGAGAAATGACAGTCCATCATTACTTTAAGATATGGTCAGTCAATACGGAACATTTCAAGAACTTTGAAAGTTTCTTCAAGTGCAGTCGCAAAAACCATCAAGCGCTATGATGAAACTGGCTCTCATGAGGACCGCCACAGGAATGGAAGACCCAGAGTTACCTACAGAGGACAAGTTAATTAGAGTTATCAGCCTCAGAAATTGCAGCCCAAATAAATGCTTCACAGAGTTCAAGTAACAGACACATCTCAACATCAACTGTTCAGAGGAGACTGTGAATCAGGCCTTCATGGTCGAATTGCTGCAAAGAAACCACTACTAAAGGACACCAATAAGAAGAAGAGACTTGCTTGGGCCAAGAAACACGAGCAATGGACATTAGACCAGTGGAAATTTTTCCTTTGGTCTGGAGTCCAAATTGGAGATTTTTGGTTCCAACCGCCGTGTCTTTGTGAGATGCGGTGTGGGTGAATGGATGATCTCCGCATGTGTAGTTCCCACCGTAAAGCATGGAGGAGGAGGTGTTATGGTGTGGGGGTGCTTTGCTGGTGACACTGTCTGTGATTTATTTAGAATTCAATGCACACTTAACCAGCATTGCTACCACAGTATTCTGCAGTGATACACCATCCCATCTGGTTTGGGCTTAGTGGGACTATCATTTGTTTTTCAACAGGACAATGACCCAACACACCTCCAGGCTGTTTAAGGGACTATTTTACCAAGAAGGAGAGTGATGGAGTGCTGCATCAGATGACCTGGCCTCCACAATCCTCCGACCTCAACCCAATTGACATGGTTTGGGATGAGTTGGACCGCAGAGTGAAGGAAAAGCAGCAAACAAGTGCTCAGCATATGTGGGAACTCCTTCAAGACTGTTGGAAAAGCATTCCAGGTGAAGCTGGTTGAGAGAATGCCAAGAATGTGCAAAGCTGTCATCAAGGCAAAGGGTGGCTATTTGAAGAATCTCAGATATAAAATATATTTTCATTTGTTTAACACTTTTTTGGTTACTACATGATTCCATATGTGTTATTTCATAGTTTTGATGTCTTCACTATTTTTCTACAATGTAGAAAATATTAAAAATAAAGAAAAACCCTGGAATGAGTAGATGTGTCCAAATCTTTGACTGGTACTGTATATATATATATATATATTTTTTATGTAGCACCCCCAACTCAAAACATCTTCCCGTGGCTATGCCAACTCCCTTCTCTTGTCAACTCAACCGCTATGTCCCTCCAAACCCAACTTTCCAGACCTGTACACCCCCCAGGCCCCCACCGACTTACCCCAACTCCCATTCCTTTTCAACTCGCCCCCAAAACCCACCCTTCGAGACCCCCCCCAGGGCCGTGTCAAGCTTAGGCATTTATTGCAATGGGGTACCCAGGGGTGGTGGTCCCAGTGATGGGTGGGAGGAGGGGGAGGTAGGGGGTCATAGCCACGACAAAAGGAGGTCAGGAAGGAAATTAGCGGCCCATGAAGCGTTAGCCAAAGCCCTTTCTGGTGTCCACTCCTCCACAGTGAACAAATAAATACCTGACACAGCTAGGGCCCGGCCATGGGTCTCATTTATAACCATTGAGTACATTTCAGACTAAATATCTGCATGTGCAATTTCTGAAAAGAATACAAATGTCAAAAAATATTGATATTTATAAACTTGGCACACGCCACACATTTGCATGTTTCCCGTTTAAATCAGACCCGTCGTAAAACTGTGCACGCGTGAACGAGCCATTATAACTCCGCCTGGAAACGCCCTCCATTCACTTTTTATGGTTACAATAAACTAATTTATTTGCTGTATAATCTGAAACTATTGGAATTAGGCCACGGCAGTTTCAAAAATAAATGTTATCAAATGTTTATGGAGGTGTTGCCAGAATGTTTTAATGTTTTGCAGTAATTTATTCTGTATTTGGCAAAGGATTGTGACAGTTTCTGAAAGAAAAAACAATGGAAAATTGTTTTGGACCTGTCAGCTGAACGTTTGAATTCAACAATGTTTTGCATCAATCTTTTCCCTAAAAATTCTGGACTATATTCTGAAACATTGTCTAGGGTAAAAAAATAAAGTTTATTACAGTAGGCTACTGTACTTGCATACTTCAACGTAAAAGATCAACTGTCTGTTCACCTGTGAAATTCGACTGTATGTTATAATCTGCGCTGCCTATGGGATCACATCGGCTACAGCAAAACTTGAAATACATAGCCTATCTATTTAGGCTACTAGGCCCAATTAAATGGTAATTTGTTGTATGGCTACTTCGGTAAAATGAACTGATCATGGGCAGAAAAGGGGAGGAATTTATTCTGCAGCGGTTATGAAAATAAATATAAAATAAATACAATATAATCCACTACTGTTAAAGAGTTTGGGGTACTTAGAAATGTCCTTGTTTTCGAAAGAAAAGCAATTTTTTTGTCCATTCAAATAACATCAAATTGATCAGAAATACAGTGTAGACATTGTTAATGTTGTAAATGGCAATTGTAGCTGGAAACGGCAGATTTTTTATGTAATATCTACATAGGCGTACAGAGGCCCATTATCAGCAACCATCAGTCCTGTGTTCCAATGGCACGTTGTGTTTGCTAATCCAAGTTTATCATTTTAAAAGTCTAATTGATCATTAGAAAACCCTTTTGCAATTATGTTAGCACAGCTGAAAACTGTCATGCTGATTAAAGATGCAATAAAACTGGCCTTCTTGAGACTAGTTGAGTATCTGGAGCATCAGCAATTGTGGGTTCGATTACAGGCTCAAAATGGCCAGAAACAAAGAACTTTCTTCTGAAACTCATCAGTCTATTCTTGTTCTGAGAAATGAAGGATATTCTATGTGAGAAATTGCCAAGAAACTGAAGATCTCGTACAACGCTGTGTACTACTCCCTTCACAGAACAGCGCAAACTGGCTTTAATCAGAATAGAAAGAGGAGTGGGAGGCCCTGGTGCACAACTGAGCAAGAGGACAAATACATTAGAGTGTCTAGTTTGAGAAACAGGCGCCTCACAGGTCCTCAACTGGCAGCTTCATTAAATAGTACCCGCAAAACACCAGTCTCAATGTCAACAGTGAAGAGGCGACTCCGGGATGCTGACCTTCTAGGCAGAGTTGCAAAGAAAAAGACATGTCTCAGACTGCCCATCTTAATCTTTGATTTTTATTGGCCAGTCTGAGAAATTGCTTTTTCTTTGCAACTCTGCAAGAATCCCAGTGGCTAGATTCTGCAAAAATCCCAGTAGCTAGATGTGCCAAGTTTATAGAGACATACCCTAAGAGACTTGCAGTTGTAATTGCTGCAAAAGGTGGCTCTACAAAGTATAGACTTTGGGGGGGGGTGAATAGTTATGCACGCTCAAGTTATGTCATTCTTTTTGTTTTATTTCTTGTTTGTTTCACCAAAAAAATATTTTGCATCTTCAAAGTGCTAGGCATGTTGTCTAACTCAAATGATACAAATCCCCCCAAAAATCAATTTTAATTCCAGGTTGTAAGGCAACAAAATAGGAAAAATGCCGGGGGTGGGGTGGGGGGGGGAATACTTTCGCAAGCCACTGTATATCAATACACTCAGTCACTGCAAAGATACAGGCGTCCTTCCTAACTCAGTTGCCGGAGAGGAAGGAAACCGCTCAAGGATTTCACCATGACTTCAAAACAGTACAAAGTTTAATGGCTGTGATAGGAGAAAACTGAGGATGGATCAACAACATTGTAGTTACTCCACAATACTAATCTAAATGATAGAGTGAAAAGAAGAAAGCCTGTAGAGAATACAAATATTCCCAAACATGCATCCTGTTCGCAACAAGGCAGTTAAGTAATGCTGCAACAAATTTGGCAAAGTGTTATTTTTGGGGCATTTCCAACACATCACTGTGTACCACTCTTCATATTTTCAAGCATGGTGGTTGCTGCATCATTTTATGGGTATGCTTGTCATCGACAAGGACAAGGGAGTTTTTTTTAGGATAAAAATAAAAATGGAATAGAGATAAGCACAGGCAAAATCCTTAAGGAAAACCTGGTTCAGTCTGCTTTCTAACAGACACTGGGAGACAAATTCACCTTTCAGAAGGACAATAAAATAAAACACAAGGCCAAATATACACTGGAGTTGCTTACCAAGACGACACTGAATGTTTCCTGAGTGGCCTAGTTACAGTTTTAACTTAAATCGGCTTGGAAATCTATGGCAAGACTTGAAAATGGCTGTCTAGCAATGATCAACAACCATCTTGACAGAGCTTGAACATTTTTTAAAGAATAATGGGCAAATATTGTACAATCCAGGTGTGCAAAGCTCTTACACAGACTTACCCAGAAAGACTCACAGCTGTAATCACTGCCCAAGGTGATTCTAACATGTATTGAGTCAGGGGTGTGAATACTTATGTAAATTAGATATTTCTGTATTTAATTTTCAAAACATTTGCTAAAACTTCTAAAAACATGTTTTCACTTCGTAATTATGGTGTATTGTGTGTAGATGGGTGAGATTTTTATTTATTTAATCAATTTTGAATTCAGGCTGTAACACAACAAATGTGGAATAAGTCAAGGGGTATGACTACTTTCTGAAGGCACTGTATGTCAAATTATTTTACATTCCAAAAATACAATACATTGATGTTCACTCTTCTCACTAATGGCAAATGGCAGCATCTTGTTGTTATGTTTTCCTGTTTTTTTGTGGGGGGTTTTGGGGAAAACAATCGTGTCATCATATCATATCTCCCATTTTGCAATACAATACTTCAACCACTATACAATATGCATACGCATAGTCTAAAGTTTGTTCCGTTTTTATAAATGGCAACTTTTGCAGGAAAATGGCACACGCATGTTTTGGGGTATATTTTATATGTACACAACATTTATAAATGAGGCCCCTGAACCGTACTGTGTTGACTCAGATATTTAGTTTCTTCCGCCACAGTTTCAGTAACTATGGTGGATGCATCAGGCCAGCCTAGTACTGCTTGGCTTACTTGGTTTGGTTCCGTAATGTGAAAAGGGTAACAGGTTTGTGATGAATTACAGGGACTTTAAGTCTATATCCACACAGCCCACTTGTCTGAGTTAACCTTGACAGAAAAGGTGCCAAAGGCTTTCCTGATTGGCCCACGCTGCGCTGTCACACAGCCAGTCACCTTCTGTAAAGAGTGTATGACGCAAGGCCAAACAGAGAAATTAAAATAATTTGTTTCCCTTTTTCTTCTTTCTTTCTTTCCCTCTCTAACTGACATAAATTGGATCCAGAGGACTGTATCGGCACAGCTCCCTCTAAACTCTCCTCTGAAAAAGTTTTAATAGTGCTATCTTTTCACAAAGTGAGAGATGAAGGGAAAGAGAGAGAGAGAGAGGGAGTGAGAGGGAAGGAAAAGTAGAGGAGGGGGTGATGTGTTAAGCAGGGGTGATGGGGTGGTAGGAGGAAGGATAGGACCTTTCAGCCAGCCTGAATATGAACAAACGTCATTGTTGTGAGCAGGTCCTTGCACCATGCCTGCCTTTTACTTCCCTTTATATTCTGGGTGAATGAGGTTGCCTGGGTAACACTGAAACGAGGAAAAATGCACCCAAAGAAGAGGAGGGTGGGAGAGAGGCTATTGGTGTGTGTGGGGGGGGGGGGGGGGGGGGCACTAGAAGAGGACGAAGTTGGTTGGCGGGGGGGGGGGGTTACAAGTAAACCCAAAATCGTCTCAGCTGATGGAGTTCAAGAAGGTATTTGTGAGGGGGAAAAAATTGCACAGTAGATGATATTGAGGAGTCTATACTAGGCAGAGTGCCGCCTGATTTCCATGTAAATGACGACCCGGGCCCGTGGAAAAGCCTGCTTTTGTTTTCCCATAAACCCTCTTGATGGCATCATGATACTTTCCTTTGATATCTCTCGTTGGCCATTAGTGTACTCCTGAGACGAGCACCCCCAGATCCCCATACAGGACCAGGCAGTCCCATACCGCGAGGACAAATGTACCCTTTGTGTTGGACACTCTAGTCAGGGGAAGTGGAATTAGTCCAGGGGCGCTGATCTCTGTGTACCTCCCCTCTGCGCCTCCTCTTTCCATCTCCTCTCTCCATCTCCTCTCTCCATCTCCTCTCTCCATCTCTTCTCTACACTCTCTTACTGGGAGGTGTAGTTCCCTTTGTTTCTCATTTGTTTGAGCGAGGAAGAAGAAAGGCTGAGGGACGCTCCTTTGCCGCCTGGATGTGTCAGTGCTTCTTTAGCAGTGGGAGAGATTGATTGACACCCTCTACACAGGCGTTTACAGTCTTTAAGTCCTATGCACATCTTTCAGACGTTTATCTACGTGGATAAAAGTAGTGCTAAGACCTAGACAGGACCCAGTGACAGGGACCTGCTTAGCTGGAACAAAGAGGTGTAAATAGGGGCATGGGGGGAGGACTTTCTCCTCCCTCCTCCTTTCTCCTCCCTGAACAAGACTGATTGAGAAACAAATTGTGGCAAATAAAGCATTTAATTAGATTATAGCCACAGTGCCTGGGCTGTTGGGCTGCTGGAACCATAGCAGTAGGGCTGGACCCTGTCCAAAGAGAGGGCGTTTTCTTTTCTATTTCTTTCTTTCTTTCTTTAGTAGTACATGAGACCGGGCTCGAGACAATATATTGAGTGTCTCGGTCTTGTCTCGGTATAAGGAAGAACATACTGTTCTTCTGAAATATGAAGACAGAACATTTTGAACTCTTATCGTGGCAATGTGACAATTACAATCATGGTCTTGAATTGGACTTGCATTTGTCCGGTCTCGGTCTTGACTCGTCTTGACTCGGTCTTGCCTCCACCTCCAGTCTTGATTCGGACTCGATTTGCTCCGGTCTTGAATCAGTCTCACTTTAGGTGGTCTCGAACACAACACTGGCCGTGTCCAAATACCCATAATTGCGTTCTAAACAGTAGGCATTTTGGGTATTTTTGGTATGTGAAAATAGGTTTTATAGTATGTAAAAAAAAAAATAATGTATGCTTTAAATACCATGTAATGGATGTCATACTCGTTTCGGCTTTTCATCTACTACAAATTCGCTGCATGCTATTGAGGAACAGAATAATATTTTCAGATCCACGTGTGTTTGACAGCAGCTGATAATGAGACGTGCTGTACCAAAAACGAAGGAATGGCGGGAAACGGTGTAGTTGCACATTAGATGACGCATTATCAGTATGGGTGAGTCTAGTATGGTGATATCTGTTGCTTACTGCATACATTCTTACTAAACAGTACTTTCTTAATAGTATGTAGTATGATTAGTACACAGTATGCAGCTTTAGTAAGTAGTAGGCAAGACAGATTTCGGACATGGCCTCTTTCTCTCTTTTTCATTCATTCTTTCATCCTCCTGAAGGGAGGGAAAAGTTGTGTTTTTGATCCCAGTGAGCAACAGAGCTGGGAAACAACAGAGAGCGAAAGCGTTTATTTATGATTCATGACATGATGGTTTTGTGGGTTGTTTTTTTTGGGCGGCATGTTCTGTGGAACCAATCTTAAAACAAGAGTGTGACCATCCCTATTGCTGCAATTGAGTTTCAGTGGAGTCAGTGGCAAATGATGCTGGCTCCATCCCAACATACAGACAACAGAAGAGAGCGAGAGAGGCTGATGTCAATGTTTTCATGTTGTAAGAGCAGGCCTGAGATTGCCAAGCCATAAATCATATTGTGAGTTTAGCATCGAGGATGATGAGACGCTGATACAATGCTATTGCGATGCTATTTTCTCCCCCTGTTCTCTTTCTCTCCCTCACTCTTGGGTCACCATTTCTCTCTCTCTCTCTCTCTCTCTCTCTCTCTCTCTCTCTCTCTCTCTCTCTCTCTCTCTCTCTCTCTCATTAAACTCGGAGCAGGTAATACAATCCCATGACACAATACTAAAGCCCAGTGAGGCAGCAGAGAGTATTAACAGGGCGTGTGAAGTGTGGACCCAGAGAGAGAAGGACTTATGTCCTAAATATCCAGGGAGCGTCTCACCGTGAATCCTGAACACTTCCAGCCACAACAAAACACGTCTTTCTTATCATCATCATCATCATCATCATCATCATCATCATCATTTTGGCCCATATCCTGGATCATGTTCATAAGGGCAAACCGTCCCAAAATGTTTTGCAACAGAAAACGAAAACGAGCTCTTCTCATTGGACGAGTTTCGACAGTACCTCCCTGTTTTATAACGGTTCTGACTGTTTTCTTTCATTTTGTGCCTAATGAACACCACCCTGGTTGTGGTCACTGGTTGATATCATGGTGGTCACAGCTCAGCTGTTATAATTGCTCTACAGACATCTCTGTCAGGCGAGGACCAATGGGGAGTGACTACTCACACCATCCGTCACCTAACCGCACAATATGTGTTTTGTCTGGGCCTTGCAGTCCGAGGTATTCGCCATGCATTCCACCCCTCCATGTGCCCCCCCCCCCCCCCCCCCCCCACCCCCCCCCCGATGGGGTTGGTGGTAGGGGGGAGGCACCTGCTGCACAGCTGTCCAGCCTTGCCTCTAATAAGCCCACCCCAAGCATACAGGTTCCCTTTCTTTTCCTTTAGTCCTACCTCACAAACCAAAGTAGTAATAATGTCATGACTCATCACTTAGTCTCTCCATCTAGATAAAACAATGTATATATCTGCATCTATCTGTATGCGTCTCTCTCTCTCTCTCTCTTTACATACAGTGTATTCGGAAAGTATTCAGACCCCTTGACTTTTTCCACATTTTGTTACATTACAGCCTTATTCTAAAATTGATTAAATAAAATAAAAATCCTCATCAATCTACACACAATACCCCATAATGTCAAAGCGAAAACAGGTTTTTTGAAATGTTTGTAAATGTATTACAAATAAAAAACTGAAATAACTTATTTACATAAGTATTCAGACCCTTTGCTATGAGACTCGAAATTGAGCTCAGGTGCATCCTGTTTCCATTGATCATCATTGAGATGTTTCTACAACTTGATTGGAGTCCACCTGTGGTCAATTCAATTGATTGGACATGATTTGGAAAGGCACACACCTGTCTATATAAGGTCCCTCAGTTGACACTGCATGTCAGAGCAAAAACCAAGCCATGAGGTCAAAGGAATTGTCCGTAGAGCTCCGAGACAGGATTGTGTCGAGGCACAGATCTGGAGAAGGGTACCAAAAAATGTCTGCAGCATTGAACATCCCCAAGAACACAGTGGTTTCCATCATTCTTAAATGGAAGAGGTTTGGAACCACCAAGGCTCTTCCTAGAGCTGGCCGCCTGGCCAAACTGAGCAATCGGGGGAGAAGGGCCTTGGTCAGGGAGGTGAGCAAGAACCCAATGGTCACTCTGACACAGCTCCAGAGTTCCTCTGTGGAGATAGGAGAACCTTCCAGAAGGACAACCATCTCTGCAGCACTCCACCAATCAGGACTTTATGGTACAGTGGCCAGACGGAAGCCACTCCTCAGTTAAAGGCACATGACAGCCCGCTTGGAGTTTGCCAAAAGGCACCTAAAGGACTCTCAGACCATGACAAACAAGATTTTCTGGTCTGATGAAACCAAGATTGAACTCTTTGGCCTGAATGCCAAGCGTCACGTCTGGAGGAAACCTAGTACCATCCCTACGGTGAAGCATGGTGGTGGCAGCATCATGCTATGGGGATGTTTTTCAGTGGCAGGAACAGGGAAACTAGCCAGGATTGAGGGAAAGATAACAACGCAAAGTACAGAGAGATCCTTGATGAAAACCTGCTCCAGAGCGTTCAGGACCTCAGACTGGGACGAAGGTTCACCTTCCAACAGGACAACGACCCTAAGCACACAGCCAAGACAACGCAGGAGTGTCTTCGGGACAAGTCTCTGAATGTCCTTGAGTGGGCCAGCCAGAGCCCGGACTTGAACCCGATCGAACATCTCTGGAGAAACCTGAAAATAGCTGTGCAGCAACGCTGCCCATTCAACCTGACAGAGCTTGAGAGGATCTGCAGAGAAGAATGGGAGAAACTCCCCAAATACAGGTGTGCCAAGCTTGTAGTGTCATACCGAAGAAGAATCAAGGCTGTAATTGCTGCCAAAGGTGCTTCAACAAAGTACTGAGTAAATGGTCTGAATACTTATGTAAATGTGATATTTCCGTTTTTTTTTTTTATACATTTGCAAACATTTCTAAAAAACAGTTTTTGCTTTGTCATTATGGGGTATTGTGTGTAGATTGATGAAGATTATTAATTTTTTTACTCCATTTTAGAATATGGCTGTAACGTAACAAAATGTGGAAAAAGTCAAGGGGTCTGAATACTTTTCGAATGCACTGTATATATAGACTGAACAAAAATATAAACGCAACATGTAACGTGTTGGTCCCATGTTTCATGAGCTGAAATAAAAGATTCCAGAAGTGTTTCATACACACAAAAATCTTATTTGTCTCAAATTGTGTGCACAAATGTGTTTACATCCCTGTTAGTGAGCATTACTCCTTTGCCAAGATAATCCATCCACCTGACAGGTGTGGCAGATCTAGAAGCTGATTAAACAGCATGATCATTACACAGGTGCACCTTATGCTGGGGACAATAAAAGGCCAGTCTAAAATGTGCAGTTTTGTCACACAACACAATGCCACAGATGTCTCAAGTTTTGAGAAAGCGTGCGATTGACTTGCTGACTGCAGGAATATCCACCAGAGCTGTTGCCAGATCATGTAATGTTAATTTCTCTACCATAAGCCACCTCCAACGTCGTTTTAGAGAATTTGGCAGTACTTACAACCAGCCTCATAACTGCAGACCACGTGTAACCACGCCAGCCCAGAACCTCCACATTCTGCTTCTTCACCTGCGGGATCGTCTGAGATTTGATTGATGGCAATTTGAATGCACAGAGATACCGTGATGAGATCCTGAAGCCCATTGTAGTGCCATTCATCCGCCACCATCACCTCGTTTCAGCATGATAATGCACAGCCCCATGTCGCAAGGATCTGTACACAATTACTCAAAGCTGAACATTTCCCAGTTCTTCCATGGCCTGCATACTCACCAGACATGTCACCCATTGAGCATGTTTGGGTTGCTCTGGATCGACATGTACGACAACGTGTTCCAGTTCCTGACAATATCCAGCAACTTCGCACAGCCGTTGAAGAGGAGTGGGACAACATTCCACAGGCCACAATCAACAGCCTGATCAACTCTATGCGAAGGAGATGTGTGGCGCTGCATGAGGCAAATGGTGGTCACCAGATACTGACTGGTTTTCTGATCCACACCCCTACCTTTTTGTAAGGTATCTGTGACCAACAGATGAATGTCTGTATTCCCAGTCATGTGAAATCCATAGATTAGGTCCTAATTAATTAATTTCAATTGATTTCCTTATGTGAACTGTAACTCAGTAAACCTTTGAAATTGTTGCACGTTGCGTTTATATTTTTGTTCAGTATACACTACCGGTCAAATGTTTTAGAACACCTACTCATTCAAGGGTTTTTCTTTATTTTTACTATTTTCTACACTGTAGAATAATAGTGAATACTTCAAAACTATGAAATAACACATATGGAATCATGTAGTAACCAAGAAAGTGTTAAACAAATCAAAATATATTTTATATTTCAGATTCTTCAAATAGCCACCCTTTGCCTTGGCATTCTCTCAACCAGCTTCACCTGGAATGCTTTTCCAACAGTCTTGAAGGAGTTCCCACATATGCTGAGCACTTGTTGGCTGCTTTTCCTTCACTCTGCGGTCCAACTCATCCCAAACCATCTCAATTTGGTTGAGGTCGGGGGATTGTGGAGGCCAGGTCATCTGATGCAGCACTCCATCACTCTCCTTCTTGGTAAAATAGCCCTTACACAGCCTGGAGGTGTGTTGGGTCATTGTCCTGTTGAAAAACAAATGATAGTCCCACTAAGCCCAAACCAGATGGGATGGCGTATCGCTGCAGAATTCTGTGGTAGCCATGCTGGTTAAGTGTGCCTTGAATTCTAAATAAATCACAGACAGTGTCACCAGCAAAGCACCCCCACATCATAACCCCTCCTCCTCCATGCTTTACGGTGGGAAATATACATGCGGAGATCATCCGTTCACCCACAAAGACACGGCGGTTGCAATCAAAAATGTCAAATTTGGACAAATTTCCACCTGTCTAATGTCCATTGAGCGTGTTTCTTGGCCCAAGCAAGTCTCTTCTTATTATTGGTGTCCTTTAGTAGTGGTTTCTTTGCAGCAATTCGACCATGAAGGCCTGATTCACACAATCTCATCTGAACAGTTGATGTTGAGATGTGTCTGTTACTTGAACTCTGTGAAGCATTTATTTGGGCTGCAATTTCTGAGGCTGGTAACTCTAATGAACTTATCCTCTGCAGCAGAGGTAACTCTGGGTCTTCCATTCCTGTGGCGGTCCTCATGAGAGCCAGTTTCATCATAGCGCTTGATGGTTTTTGTGACTGCACTTGAAGAAACTTTCAAAGTTCTTGAAATGTTCTGTATTGACTGACCTTCATGTCTTAAGGTAATGATGGACTGTCATTTTTCTTTGCTTATTTGAGCTGTTCTTGCCATAATATGGACTTGGTCTTTTACCAAATAGGACTATCTTCTGTATACTCCCACTACCTTATCACAACACAACTGACTGGCTCAAATGCATTAAGAAGGTAAGAATTTCCACAAATTAACTTTTAAGAAGGCACACCTGTTAATTGAAATGCATTCCAGATGACTACCCCATAAGCTGGTTGAGAGAATATCAAGGCAAAGGGTGGCTATTTTAAGAATCTCAAATATAAAATATATTTGATTTGTTTAAAACTTTTTGGGTTACTACATAATTCCATGTGTTATTTCATAGTTTTGATGTCTTCACTATTATTCTACAATGTAGAAAATAGTAAAAATAAAGAAAAACCCTTGAAGGTGTTATAAAACTTTTGACCGGTAGTCTGCTTCACTAACGACATAGGCACTCACCCAGGCGGTGGGTGGGTTGACGTTTTTGGGGCTGGTGGTGAGGTAGCCCTGATAAGAACAACCACATCTGTCAACAATCATGTATTGGATGAGATCCCATTTATCCACATACCAAGCCAACCAGTGGTTGGCTCGGTCCAGACCCAGTAATGTACGCAACTATGCATCCTCTGGGCTGGAAGCCTGGGTGGTCCCGCCGGACCTCTGTCCATCTACCCAGGAATCTGACGTGACCGATACAATGTGTCAGTCAAAGTGCCCCACCTTGCAATCTGCTTGATTTCAACGTCTCCCATTTCTATAGAATGTTCAACGTGTGTTGCCCCATTCAAGTTGTATGTACAGGAATTCCCCCAGGTGATGACGTTATACGGAGCTACGTGGTCAGTATCATTATACGTTTCCTCTATAATGATGTTTACATTGGTCCGATGACACGGGTTAATCAATAGGATTATAATGGGAGCTCTTTAGCTCTTATTCCGCAAGAACGCCTACGCCTTAATGCTCACTCAAATGCCAGTTCTCAACTACAAGAACCAGGAGGAACTCGGACGGAAGAGAACTAAACGACTGAACTAGCGAGAAGTATGGCGAATTATCAAGCGATGTCGAAAGAGTTCTTCAAAGCTGCCGACCAGCCAGTGATTCACTTGTAAGGCCTTTTGAAAACCTCTGTGTTCACTGTTCAGGGTACAACAAATGAAAAGCCACAGTTTGTTTAGTTCAGCCAGGGAAAAAACCCTAATGTTCTTCTCTCACTCAACCACAAGCACACAGCATAAGGGAAAATAAAATGTTCACACCAACGATGACAGACCGTGCCACGAAACCAAACTCACACATCACCCATAGTGGTATGAAGAGGGAAAAGCATGGAACAGAGGAAGAGAAGAGAGGAGAACAGAAGTGGTGAGTCTACTTTTAAACCTACCTAGACGAGATGGAAAGAGAGAAGCAGGAGCAACTTGAAATACTACCCATGGTGATATTACAACAACAAAAATGTGAAACAGGGAGAGAAGAGAAGAGGAGTGATGGAACAACACCAGCAGTACCCTGCTTCCCTGTCAATCTGATCTGTCAGAGCAGCATTAGGGAGGTCTGAGAACAGCTGCCAGGCATTCTCGCACGCTAGGATTCCTCTCTCTGTCTGGGAGAGGAACACTGCTATGACTACACTTTTCCAAAAGCTAGGGGCAAAGGATAAGTATTTCGGCCTACGTTGCCCCTTGTGGGGCAAACCCTCACAGGTTTTTGTAACGACTAACTAGTGACGAATCTTCATTGTCTTCTTTGTTAATTTGTAATGCGGTTCTTAAAAATTTTTCTGAATACTTTGTATCACATACCATGTCTCTGGCTTAATTTTCTAGTTTAACAGGTGTTTATATAAAAGTGCCATCAAATCCCATTAAATCTCTCCATGTTAATTAACAAGATTTAACTAAGAAAGTATTCCATTAAATTATATATACAGTACACAGTACTGCTGTGTTTTGACAGTAGCTGGTGGGAGAGTGTATAATTTGGAGGAAGAATTTCCCTCTGAACGAGCTACTGTATCCTCTCTCCTGAATTTGAGAAAGAGCTTGCTTCCCTGATTAGCGCCAGAACCCCAAATTCCTCTATTTTCCTCTCTCTACCATATTCACTCTCTTTTCCTCTTAGAGAGAGAGACAAAATCAACAGATCAACAATATCAAGGCCCAGAGCGTTGCCGTGCCAACACCCCACTGCGTTCCTGTTACACCCCACTGCTTTCCAGTTACACAGTTAATCGGATGAAGAGTGTAAGATTAAAGGAGCTACATCCCAAGGCATCGGCTAATTGATTTAATATTGATGAAATTCCAACGAGGGGAGGGAGGGGGGAGGCAACGGGGATCCAATTTAAACTGTACTCGCTCTCACATTTCATGTGAAGAAATGTTTAGTTAGTAGGGGTGGGGAAGTAAGGGAGGGAGAGCGGTTCCTTCTATTTTCTGTACAGCCTAAATACACACTGTAAACCAAATCCTAGCTAAAGGCATTATTGGTATCCACAGGTGTAGCCAGTGGCATTTAAACAGTTTGATATCAACAAATGAGTCTCAAGAATATGTTCTGATAATCCTTTCTTGCAGAGGAATTAGGATCACACAAGCAGTATAATAAGAGATAAGAGACTGAGACTGGAGCCACTCACCTGCTGGCTCCTCTGTACTGCTGGCTGTTGTTGTCGGAGGAGCAACGGGAATCTCTGTTTCCAGGTTAAAAAAAACGCACAAACACAAACAAAAGTTAGCTTTATTATGTTTTAATGCATTTGACATAGAATTAAAGACAACCGTTATCTTGATGTAAGAGTTATGTAAAATAAGACAAGAGTATACAATAAGAGCGTTTATTTTCCAGCAGACAAGCTTTAGTGTTAGTGTACAACCTAAAGTTTTTCAGTAGATGTAGACGTGCTGTGTGGGGTAACCGTATGAAGGGATGGTTACTGGTTAGGTTTCGCCTGTAGAGATTTACTCTCTCAGCTGTATGGCATCCATATTAGGAAGTCTGAGAACTGATGACTTCCTTATATGAATGCCATACAAGTGGAGCTACCTGGCAGATCAGATCAAAGGGGAACAGCGAGATGCAATCTTAAGATCTGGAGGGTCGATATCAGGAGGGGTGTGAAATCTGTAATGTCTCTCCCCTCATGCCTCCATTTGCCCCCACGACGAGGTATCTGCGGTTTTACATCCAAGACTTCATTCTCTCAGCTCTCCTTCCTCTCTCGTAGGCTATTCACAGAGGCAGGAAGTTGACATTGAAGGAAGCCATGCATGAAGAGAGCTCCTCTTATCTCCAAAGGAGCAGGATGGTAACATTAGATAACAGTAGATATAAAACATAATGCATTTTGTTACATTGGCGGCAAAAGGGGGGATAAAACCACCGAAACAGGTGTGTAAGCAGCGAGGGGAAGCAAGGACAGAGAAGCACAGATACAGTTGTATGAGAACACACAGATAAAAGGAAACGGTGGCAAGATAGATAAGATACACAGGAAAGGAAAAGGAAGAAAGAATCAAGTCTTCTGATCAACGCCTCTGATTAGGTTGGTTGGTTGGTTGCTTGGTTGCTTGGTTACTCCTTGCCTTCTCCCAATCGTACAGATTAGTATACAGTACAGTATCCTGTATATAAACATTATGAATCTAAAAGTTGACTAATCATAGTAGCCTAGCGGTTAAGAGCGTTGGGCCAGTAACCGAAAGGTTGCTGACGTTCTGCCCTTGAGCAAGTCAGTTAACCCCCAACAACAACTGCTCCCCTGGCACCGATGACGTGGGTGTCGATTAAGGCAGCCCCCCGTACCTCTCTGATTCAGAGGGGTTGGGTTAAATGCGGAAGACACATTTTGGATGAATGCATTCCCCTTTCCCTTAATTGTTTAATTTATACAGGCCTAATTTGGTATTTTTTCATTAAGAATCGAAGCGTCTGTCTTGTGACAAGAAAAAAATTGCTGCCAGAGGCCATGTGGTTCTTACTCCCTACTGATTACTCTGTGTCACTGCTAATCGACCTGCCAAGCCCTGATAGCCGATCAGGATTCAGCCATGCGTGCCAGATCACATAATAATAATGAGCCTGTTTCTCATAATCGACTCATATGGTCGGATTTACGGCCCTCTACATTGGAAAGTATATGAAGTCAGAGCTATTACATTTTATCCCTCCCTGTTAAAACTGAAATTGGCAAGAGGTTTCAGTATTGCTAAATGTTAATGGGAGGGCTTTAAAAAGATTATTTAGCAATTATAGAAGAAACTAAATATTTTTGTTGATCCGATCTGATCGCGGGGACCTCAGCATCTCCAAGTTTCACACCTCCGAGTGACTGGGGCAACTTTCCCAGGAAAATCAAAGATATCCGATTCCAATGGAGTTTGTAGTTTTAATTTATCCCCTTTGCTTGGACATTGGCCAAAGATATCCCCTCGGAACGATTCATTTCATAAGATATTTTGTTTAACCTCTGAATCATAATTTTATTGACCAAAAGCAGCAATTAAAATGTATTGTTTTGGAGTCTGAAAACAAAGGCCAATTAATTAAGATAAAGTGGCGGCTATTTGTTTTGAGATGATGATTGCCCTTGGTGATTGGCCCTTTTCCCTTTTTAGCCAATGAGGGACACTGGTGGATCCTAGAGTTGGTGTTCGTTAACTAGGCTCTGGACCTGGACTTAGCACTGTTGGATTTATGGGGACTGTCAACATGGGGAGGTTGAGGCTTCACAGAGGATTCTGGGGGATGATTTGTTTATTTTAGCTTTCAGATTTACCGGTTGGTCAGAACACTGTGACTAAACGCTTGTCTGAGGAAACCAATAGAAGAGAGAAAGAAGAAGAGTAGGATTCTGTGCCATGTAGTGTGTGTTTGTCAAGCTAGGATAGAGTGGGTGGATGGGAGGGACGGAGGGAGGGAGGGTGGTTGGTTGGTTGGGAGGGACAGAGGGTGGTTGAGAGGGACGGAGGGTGGTTGGGAGGGAGGGAGGGAGGGAGGGAGGGAGGGAGGGAGGGAGGGTGGTTGGTTGGTTGGTTGAGTGAGTGAGTGAGTTTGTTCCTTTTTGTAAGTTGTCCATTTTCTTTGTGGAGGTGTGTATGAAGGTTTCAAGCATAGAGATGGAATGGGCAAAAGACAGGTCATATCTCGACCCAAGGTTTTAATATGGGTGGCTGGTGAGGCAAGTTCAGGCAACTAGGAAAGGCTGGGTTCCACGTACTTATGCAGGGGGCAATGGGCGAGCGGCTCTGCTGGTAGCCTTTAGCGCAGCGGTTGCACGTGATACCAGTCACGCCGTCTTTACAGGGACATTGGCCCGTGGTTTGGTTACAGGTTTTGCCAGCAGCACCCACGGGATGGCAATCACATGCTGTGAGGAACAGAAGAGAAGAGGTAAGAGAACACACGTTTGGCGTGGGGGGGACACAAAAACATGTAACACCCATATACAGAGAGAGCACAGATACAGTACAAAACAACAACAACAATAGCAGTGGTGGTGGCAACAACAGGGTTGGAAACGTGAGCGTCGAGGACAGAAGGGATAGTGAAGCTTGTGAAGCTTGCTGCAGGAAGAGTGACGAGACTTACTTGGGTCCACAACACGACAAGCTTGACGTGCAGTGCCATCGCTGCAAGAACACACGAACAGCATACACTCAGCATATTCAAACTGGCATACGGTACTAGTTGACATTGACTGCTGGGAATCGTTGGCTCTTTCCAAGCTGTTATCATGGTAACATGA